TTTTGGCTTTTATTGCCATTACTTTTGGTGTTTTAGTTATTAAGTCCTTGCCCATGCCTATGTACTGAACAGTATTGCCTAAATTTTCTTCTAGGGTTTTTGTGGTGTTAGGTCATATGTTTAAATCTTTAATCCATCTGGAGTTAGTTTTTGTATGTGGTGTAAGAAAGGGATCCAGTTGCAGCTTTCTGCAAATGGCTGGCCAGGTTTCCCAACACCATTTATTAAATAGGGAATCCTTATCCCACTGCTTGTTTTTGGAAGGTTTGCCAAAGATCAGATGGTTGTAGATGTGTAGTGTTATTTTGAAGCCTCTTTTCTGTTTCATTGGTCTGTATCTCTGTTTTGGTAATAGAACCATGCTGTTTTGATTACTGTAGCCTTGTAGTATAGTTTGAAGTCATGTAGTGTGATGCCTTCAGCTTTAATTTTTTTTTATTGGCTATGTGAACTCTTTTCTGGATCCATATGAAATTTAAGGTGTTTTTTTCCAAAACTGTGAAGAAAGTCAATGGTAGCTTGATTGGAATAGCATTGAATCTATAAATTACTTTGGGCATTATGGCCATTTTCACAATATTGATTCTTCCCATCTGTGACTTTGGAATGTTTTTTCATTTGCTTGTGTCCTCTCTTATTTCCTTGAGCAGTAGTTTTTAGTTCTCCTTGAAGAGGTCCTTCACATCCTTTGTTAGTTGTATTCCTGGGTATTTTATTAACTTTGTAGCAGTTGTGAATCAGAATTCACTCATGAGTTGACTCTCTATTACTGGTATATAGGAATGCTTTTGATTTATTTTTATATCTTATTATAACACCACTTTCCCCTGAAAAAAAACTGCATCTCTCACTGATAATGGCTTAGATGTCTCACCCAAATCTCACATTGAATTGTAATCCCCAGTATTGGGGATGAGGAATGCTTTTGATTTTTGCACGTTGATTTTGTATCCTGAGACTTTGCTGAAGTTGCTTATCAGCTTAAGGAGATTTGGGCTGAGACAATGGGGTTTTCTAAATATACAATCATGTTATCTGCAAATAAAGACTGAATACCTTTATTTCTTTTTCTCCCCTGATTGCCCTGGACAGAACTTCCAATACTATGTTGAACGGGAGTGTTGAGAAAGGGCATCCTTGTCTTGTGTCAGTTTTCAAAGGGAATGTTTCCCTTTTGCCTATTCAGTATATTGGCTGTGGCTTTGTCATAAATAAGCTCTTATTATTTTGAGATACATTCTATCAATACCTAGTTTATTAAGAGATTTTAGCATAAAGTTCTGCTGAATTTTGTAGAAGGCATTTTCTGCATCTGTTGAGATAATCATGTGATTTCTGTCTTTGATTCTGTTTGTGTGATGGATTAAGTTTATAGATTGTATATATGTTGAACCAGCCTTGCTTTTTGATACACTGTTGGATTCAGTTTGCCAGTACTTTACTGAGGATTTTTGCATCGATGTTCATCAATGGATACTGGCCTGAAATTTTCTTTTTTAGTTGTGTCCCCACTAGGTTTTGGTATAAAGATGATGATGGTCTCATAAAATGAGTTATGGAGGATTCCCTCTTTTTGTATTGTTTGGAATAGTTTCAGAAGGAATGGTACTAGATCTTTTTGTACCTTTGGTAGAATTAGGCTGTGAATCCATCTGGTCCTGGACTTTTTTTGGTTGGTAGGCTATTAATTGCTGCCTCAACTTCAGACCTTGTTATTGGTCTATTCAAGGATTCAGATTCTTCCTGGGCTAGTTGTGGGAGGGTGTAAGTGTCCAGGATTTTATCCATTTATTTTAGATTTACTGGTTTATTTGCACAGATGTGTTTGTAGTATTCTCTGATGGTAGTGTGTATTTCTGTGGGATTGGTGGTGATATCCCATTTATCACTTTTTATTTCATCTATTTGATTCTTCTTTCTTTATATATATATATATTTTTTTTTAATTGCATTTTAGGTTTTGGGGTACATGTGAAGAACATGCAAGATTGTTGCATAGGTAGATATATGGCATTGTGGTTTGCTGCCTTCCTCCCCATCACCTATATCTGACATTTCTCCCCATGTTATCCCTCCCCAACTCCACCCCCTTCTGTTCCTCCCCTAATTCTCCCCACCACAGACCCCAGTGTGTGATGCACTTCTCCCTGTGTCCACGTGTTCTCATCGTTCAACATCTACCTATGAGTGAGAACATGCACTGTTTGATTTTCTGTTCTGTGTCAGTTTGCTGAGAATGATGGTTTCCAGGTTCATCCATGTCTCTACAAAGAACACAAATGCATCATTTTTTATGGCTGCATAATATTCCATGGTGTATATGTGCCACATTGTCCCTGTCCAGTCTATCATCGATAGGCATTTTGGTTGGTTCCAAGTTTTTGCTATTGTAAACAGTGCCACAATGAACATACATGTCCATGTGTCTTCATAATAGAATGATTTATAATCCTTTGGGTATATACCCAGTAATGGGATTGCTGGGTCAAATGGAATTTCTATTTCTAGGTCCTTGAGGAAGCGCCACACTGTCTTCCACAATGGTTGAACTAATTTACACTCCCACCAACAGTGTAAAAGTGTTTCTATTTCCCTACATCCTCTTCAGCATCTATTGTCTCCAGAATTTTTAATGATTGCCATTCTAACTGGCATGAGATGGTATCTCAATGTAGTTTGGATTTTCATTTCTCTAATGACAGTGATGATGAGCATTTTTTCATGTTTGTTGGCCTCATATGTCTTCTTTTGTAAAGTGTTCATATCCTTTGCCCACTTTTGAATGGGGGTTTTTTTGTTGTAAATCTGTTTTAGTTCTTTGTAGATTCTGGCTATTAGCTCTTTGTCAGATGGGCAAATTGCAAAACTTTTTTCCCATTCTGTTGGTTGCCAATTCCCTCTGATGATTGTTTCTTTTGCTGTACAGCAGCTCTGGAGTTTAATTAGGTCCCATCTGTCTATTTTGGCTTTTGTTTCCAATGCTTTTGGTGTTTTAGTCATGAAGTCCTTGCCTGTGCCCATGTCCTGAATGGTTTTGCCTAGATTTTCTTCTAGGATTTTTATGGTGTTGGGTCTTATGTTTAAATCTTTAATCCATCTGGAGTTAATTTTAGTGAAAAGTGTAAGGAAGGGTCCAGTTTCCGCTTTCTGCACATAGCTAGCCAGTTTTCCCAACACCATTTATTAAACAGGGAGTCCTTTCCCCATAGCTTGTTTTTGTCAGGTTTGTCAAAGATCAGATGGTTGTAGATGTGTGGCATTGCCTCCAAGGTCTCTGTTCTGTTCCGTTGGTCTATATCTCTGTTTTGGTACCAGGACCATGCTGTTTTAATTACCGTAGCCCTGTAGTATAGTTTGAGGTCAGGTAGTGTGATGCCTCCAGCTTTGTTCTTTTTGCTTAGAATTGACTTGGCTATGTGGGCTTTCCTTTGGTTCCATATGAAGTTTAAGGTGGTTTTTTCCAGTTCTGTCAAGAAGGTCATTGGTAGCTTGATGGGGATAGCGTTGAATCTGTAAATTACTTTTGGCAGTATGGCCATTTTCACAATATTGATTCTTTCTATGTTTTCTTCTTTGTCAGGCTGGTGGTCTATTTTCAATCTTTCCAAAACACCACCACCTGTGTCATTGATTTTTTTGAAGCATTTTTTTTTTGTGTCTCTATCTCTTTCAGTTTTGCTCTGATCTTAGTTAATTCACATCTTCTGCTAGCTTTTGAATTTGTTTGATCGCATTCCTCTAGCTTTTTTAATAATGACATTAGGGTGTCGATTGTAGATCTTTCCTCATTTCTATTGTGGGCATTTAGTGCTGTAAATTTCCCTCTCGAGACTGCTTTAAATGTGTCCCAGAGATGATGTTATTTCAACCAGTAGTCATTCACGAGTAGGTTGTTCAGTTTCCATGTATTTGTATGGTTTTGAGTGAATTCCTTAATCCTGAGTCCTAATTTGACTGCACTATGGTGAGACTGTTTGTAACGATTTCTGTTCATTTGCAGAGGAGGATTTTACTTCCAATTATGTGGTCAATTTTAGAATTATTGTGATATGGTAATAAAAAGTATGTATATTCTGTGGATTTGAGGTGAAGAGTTCTGTAGATGTCTATTAGGTCTGCTTGGTCCAGATCTGAGTTCAAGTCCTGGATATCCTTGTTTATTTTCTGTTTCATTGATCTGTCTAATCTCCCACCATTACTGTATGGGTCACTTTGACAAACTGACAGAAGCAGGCTTCAGAGGTGGGTAATAACAAAGATTTCTTTTAAAATGTTACTGTTCATTGACAATGTATCTACTCACTCAAAAGCTCTGATGGAGATGTAGGAGATTAATGTTTTCATGCTTGCCAACACCACATCCATTTAGCAAGCCATAGATCAAGGAGTAATTCTGACTTTCAAGCCTTATTATTTAACAAATAAATTTTGTAAGCCTGTACCTGCTATAGATATTGATTTCTCCGATGGATCTAGGCCAAGTAAATTGAAAACATTCTAGAAAGGATTTACCATTCTAAGTACCATTGAGAATATTCATGCTCAATGGGAAGAGGCAAAAATATCAACATTAGTAGGAATTTGGAAAAAGTTGATTCCAGCCCTCATGAATGACTTTGAGGGGTTCAAGACTGCCATAGAGGAAATCAATGGCGATGTGGTAGAAATAGCCAAGAGAACAAGAATTAGAAATAAATCTTGAAGATGTGACTTATTTGTTGCAATCTCAATGATAAAACTTGAATAGAAATTAAATAAAGTGGTTTCTTGAGATGGAAACTGCTGCTGGATATGCTGTGAACACTGTTGAAATGACAACTAAGGATTTAGAATATTACATAAACTTAGTTGTTAAAGCAGCGGCAGGGTTTGCGAATATTGACTGCAATTTTGAAGCTCTAGCATGAGTCAAATGCTATCAAACAGCATTGCATACTATAGAAAAATCTTTCATAAGAGGAAGAGTTGATCAATACAGCAAACTTTATTGTTCTCTTAAGAAATTACCGCAGCCACCCCACGTTCAGCAACCCTGACTGGGAGGAAGCTATCAACATCAAGGCAAGGTCTCTACCAGCAAAAAGACTGCAACTCACTGAAGGCTCAGGTGATCACTAACATTTTTTATTAATAGAGTATTTTTAAATTAAGGAATGTACATTACAGTTTAGGACATCATGCTGTTGCACACTTAAAGAGTACAAGATAGTGTAAATGTAACTTTTAAATGCATTGGGAAACCAAAATTTGTGTGAATTGCTTTATTGTGGTGATAGGAAGCACTCCCAGTATGTGCGAGGTGTGCATGTATTTTTATGATCTTTGTAGAAGTCAAACAACTAGCTATGGTACATATTTAGTGACTGCTTCTCAACTACCTGGGCTTTTGGTAGAGAAGACATAGATATTAGGTCATCAGTGATGTCTAAGAATTACAGTGTGCCCAGGAAATATAGACTCCTCAAATCTTTTTAAATTGAGTATGCGGCTATGTTTTGTGCTTACATGTACATAATTTGATTAAAGAAAAAGTTATAGAAATTTAAAGCAGAATGGCCAACTAGAAGCATTTTATATGTCCTTCAAAATGTTTTCATTCCCACCACTATCCTTTTTGTCCCCAAGTAACATCATTTTGCAAAAAAGAGGGAGAGGTTGATATCTTTAGTGAAGTTACTCACTCTAAAACAAAACATTTAGATTTCTAACTGTATTTAAGATGGCTGAGTATGTGATTTGTAATCAATTATATTCATGGCATTTCTCTTTCCAATAGTATTGTCTTGAACTTGAATAGGGTTTTTGTTTTCTATGCAAAGAAGTATCTCTTCCAGACTGGAAGAAAATGTAAACTTCAAGCAGTATTGACTTACCTATCAATCACTTAGTTAGTATATATGAGCTTCTCAGAGAAGAAATCATAAACGTTGAGAGTTGCCACACATAATGGTGACCTTCAACACATGTGAAGATATAGCATTCCTTTTCCCCTTCCATTTTTCCTTTATGATTCCAATCTTGCTTCGATGAAAAAGCTGCCCAATGGGCAAGCTTAAAGCTATATAAGTGACTGCCTCATTCTAACTTAAATATTTACCTTTATTTCAATTATTTTTATATCAATGGAGAAGGGAAACATTTTAGTTGAAATGGCACAGCATACACTGAAGTGATCCACCACCTTTCACTTAGTCCATATGTAGTCCAAAATGCTGCACATGAGAACCTAGTTTCTCACTGGCCCATGACCTACTCTTATAAGCTGAAGTTTTGCGTAGTACCTGTATTTGAAGAAAATGGCATTTTTTTTAATATTTGAATTTGTATGTGTTGTATGTTTGCAAGCAAGAGTTATCCAAATCTTGTCATGTAAAATCTACCATTTACTTGATTTTCATATAGTCTTTTGTTTTAGAGATTACAGGTAGTAAAAGAAAAATCCAAATTAGGAAATTAAACAGTGCCATTTTATAACAATATACCTGGGTATCTTGAAAAAGTGTCGTTGATTTATTAGCAGCATTTTTAAAAGTCTCACTGCAAACATATACATCAATTATAAAAAGTACATCCAAATTTTAGAACCATAAAAATGCAAAAATAGGTATGGTTTATAATCATGGAAATATAGGGGATTTTTTGCTTTTTCTCTACATACCAAATGTTTTGCTAGACATGTCATTATACTGATTCATAAATACATGTCAGTCATTTATGCTATAACACTACTAAATTCTTGGTGGTCAGCCATAGAGAAATTTAGACAATAGAGTTTTAAGATGAAAATCATTGTGCTCTCCCCCTGTCCAAATTTCTTGGAAGAGTCCTGCTTTGAGCACTATAATAATGCTAAGGTTCATGAACCTTCCTCTGTCTCCTCAGGAACTTACCCAGATCAACATTTCCCCATCTTTCATAGAATAAAAGGTGGGGATGTGGTCAGTCTTTCTGAGACATGTTGCCAAAACATTAAGGTTATATCAATAACAGAGTAAATATAAGAATGAACCATCCTTCTATTAAAATAGAATGAAAAGAGACCCAGCTTAATTTAGAGGTTTGTTTGGAACATTTTCTCTGTGTTCTGTAGTGACCTAGAGTTACTTCTAACACCACACCCAATCCCACAAGGGCTTTAATTGACATGCTGATAATACTGTTTTAAATTTAGTAAGAAAGGCCTCCCACTACTAACTGTTTCTATAGAGCATTATTGAACTCTTGGGGAATTTTTCTTCCAAAAAAAGCATGAAATTCCTCTCTGAAATATTTGCTTCTCTAGGACTCTAAATGAAAGTGTCTGGAATAAAAAAAGAGTGAGAGCAATAAAAAGTAAAAAGGAGGGAGAGACAGAGATGGGGGAAGGAAGGAGAAAGAAAGATTTTTGACAAATGATCAATTAAAAAAAAATCTTTTATTGTGCTTTGGGTTTGGGGGTACATGTGAAGAACATACAGGATTATTGCATAGATACATACATGGCAATGTAGTTTGCTCCCTTCCTCCCCATCACCTATATCTGGCATGTCTCCCTATGTTCAATTTTTATTATAGTTCATTTAGTGACTTTGTTATTACCTTTCAAAAGTAAAGCAATTTTACAACTTAAAAGTTTGTCATTTAAATGTTACATTTACCTTGTAATTCAATCAGTAGTATCCATTCTCATGAAAAAAAAAAAAAAACCTTTTGCATATTTGCATTTCACTGAGAATGTATTTGACTCTTGCCAAGTGAGAGTGGAAGATAATAACAGAAAAATCCAGTAGTGTGAATGAAAAGTCTACCAATTATTCCTTATTTCTTCAGAAATTTACTTCTTTTCAAATTACCAGTAGTAAGGCAGTAAATGACTGTTAATTTCTTGTTTGTTCTCTAATAAGCAGACATTGTTGAACTTAAAGCTCTTTTCTTCCTGACCTTTTGGGTTGCATCTAAACTGCAGGCTATAACAACTGCTAACTTACAATTTGTTGTCATGCTAACAATTTTTTTTTCTGACAATAATTTTCCTTTCACCCCTGTACTGAATCCTAAGATGTCCAGAATATTTGGGCCATGTCAGGATAAGATATCTTCTGTTTTGCCATTTAGACGGATGACATACTACCTCCAAGTCTACTATTACTAAAAAAATCTAATAATCTACATTTTTTTTTATTTCCCAATTCTGTTACTGGGGCCCTGGCCTCAGCCCACTGTGGTCAGACCACATTCTTCTGTGGTAGATGCTATAGTGGCTACCCAAGGAAATCATTAATCACCTATTCATAAATGAAGGACATGGTTCCCCAGCTGCTGGTGGTGTTGTCTACAGATAGCTCTACAGGGATTGCCTTTGTGGAAGACAGCCACTTCACCCAGGCCATGTGCCCTTTTCTGGGCCATCACCATGCTTGATGGGAGGATATAAGGGACTGAACCTGGCTCTCCAACCTGGGACAACTCTGAATGGCCATCGTAGTTTCAGAGTCTACTGTAAGGTTGGCTGAAGCCTCCATTAAGGCTGCAGCCCAACTACTTCCTCTACCCAATCCTGCTTTCTTCCTTCCCCTCTCTTCTGTAGGCATTGATTGAGAGAATACACTCAAGTGAAGCTTCTGCACTCTAATCATCATCTCAGAGTGCTTCCTGGGAAATCCAACCTGTGACCCCTTCCTGGTCCCTACTCCCTGGGCTCTACTCTCCCCCACAGCAGTTAGCTGTCACCAAGGAGGCTCATACAGGTACAATGTCCCCTTCCCTGGGCCACTGCCTGGGAGGCTGATGCAAGTGGGATGTCCCCCTTTCCTGGCCCACTGCTTATGTAGCTCCCCTGAGCTACAACATTGCACTCAGCTACAGTCAGTATTTAGCTGACCCTTGGCTATGTCAGTTTCCAGCTCTTCCTCTGAGATTGTTTTCAATTCTTATCTCTTCCTTAACCTCCACAATCAAAAGTTACTCAGTTCTGCTGACTGGGTAATGAGACTATCCAGAAGAGCATATTCCTTATCTCTTCCTCTCCTCCCCACTATCACTACTTAATGGCCTTCCATTGTCTGTCTCTGCTTACACTGTGGCCACATTCTGTTAACTGGCTTCCCTGTCTCTCTGCTGTCCTCCTCTACACTGCAGCCAAAGACACCATTCCAAGGCTCACATTTGCTCTTGTCATTCCCTTGCTGATCACAGTGTGATTTGTAAGACAAAGCCTAGACTCAGCACAACATAAAAGGCCCTCTATGGTCTGAGTGCAACTGCATCAGTGTCTCCTGTAACCCTGGACTTTACTCTGGTGTCATGAATACTGAAAACTCCTTTAGTTTAAATTCTGGTATACATATTCAGAATGTGCAGAATTGTTACACAGGTATACATGTGCCATGATGGTTTGCTGTACCCACTGGCCCATCATCTACATTAGGTATTTATCCTAATGCTGTCCTTACCCTAGTCCCCCACCCCCAGACAGGCCTGGTGTGTGATGTTCCCCTCCCTGTGTCCATGTGTTCTCATTGTTCAACTCCCACTTATGAGTGAGAACATGAAGTGTTTAATTTTCTGTTCCTGTGTTAGCCTGCTGAGAATGATGGTTTTCAGCTTCATCCATGTCCCTGCAAAGGACATGAACTTATCCTTTAATTTCATATGGAATATAAGAGAGCCCCTATACCCAAAACAATCTTAAGAAAAAAAAAAAAAAAAAAAAAAAAAACTGAAGGCATCATGCTATTTGACTTACAACTATACTACAAGTCTACAGTAATCAAAACAGCATGGTACTAGTACCAAAACAGATTTATACACCAATGGAACAGAACACAGGTCTCAGAAATAATGCCACATATCTACAAACATCCAATCTTTGACAAGCCCAACAAAAACAAGCAATGGGGAAAGGATTCCCTATTTAATAAATGGTATTGGGGAAACTGGCTAGCCATATGCAGAAAACTGAAACTGGACTCCTTTCTTATAGCTTACACAAAAATTAACTCAACATGGATTAAAGACTTAAATGTAAGGCCTAATACCATAAAAACCCTAGGAGAAAACTTAGACAATACTATTCAGGATATAGGCATGGCCAAAGACTTTATAACTAAAACATCAAAAGCCATGGCAACAAAACCCAAAATTGACAAATGGGATCTAATTAAACTAAAGAGCTTCAGCACAGCAAAAGAAACTATTAGCAGAATGAACAGGCAACCTACAGAATGGGACATTTTTGCAATCTATCCATCTGACAAAGGGGTAATATCCAGAATCTACAAAGAACTTAAACAAATTTATAAGAAAAAAAAAAAAACATCAAAAAGTGGGTGAAGGATATGAACAGACCCTTCTCGAAAGAAGACATTTATGCAAAAAGTGGGTGAAGGATATGAACAGACCCTTCTCGAAAGAAGACATTTATGCAGCCAACAGACATGAAAAAAAGCTCAACATTACTGGTCATTAGAGAAATGCAAATCAAATCCACAATGAGATTTACACTTCTTGAAATGTATATGTGCCATGTTTTCTTTATCCAGTCTATCATTGAAGGGCATTTAGGTTAATTACCTTGTTTTACTGTAAAACATTACCGTTGGATACGTTTAGAAAATATATATTTATACTCATATTTGATTTCCTTCTTATATCTTTCAAATGATCTGAAATGACCCACATTCTTTCTTGTGCATCATACAGAGATAATCAGCAAGGATTGGAAGTTGGCTAATATAACTGACATCGGTAACACCATTCAAAACTAAGAGCCAGTGTCAAGATCCTGGATACCCTTCCTGCCTTTACTCCCAAAGTAGCCTTTTCATAGATCCGGGTAACACTTGAGCCCTCAATCCAAGATTAAAAACATCTGCTGGAGAAATTGTCAAACAGTCTTGGAACACTTAGTCAAATTCACAGGGACTCCATCTGGGACTGGTGATACTTGCTGCTTTCATATCTTTAATTGTTTCTAGCACCTCCATAGATCAAAGTCCTCTCTGTAATGCGTCCTTTCCATCATGCCATATTTACCCATTTTATATCAAAATGTATAATCTTGACCATCTGCTTTCATAGGGGAATATAAATCTTTATCAAACTAGATTAAGTAACATTTTTCAGCTAAGTGTGCCTATATTTTCTTATGTGCAAATTTCAGAAAATAATCCCCTCTTTCATGGCATGCTTTAAATTTAGAAACAGGCTTCCTGGGTTTTTCTAACTGTGAAGCATTTTTATATGGTCCTTTGTTCCTGAATTTCAACATTCAAAGAAAGTAATTTTTTTTAAATCTTCTGTACCAGAATTAAATATATGCTCTTATAACACATATCATACAGTCTTGGTTATAATTTTGTACCTGTTTGCAAATCTATGTCATGTCATGAAACTATAAATATCTAAAAGACATTAAGTTTTAAAAATGTACTTTGTCTAATGTCTTACTCATAGTAGATAATGAATTATACTGATAATGAATTATGTTATTTTATGTTTAATAAGAATTATGTTAAAGTGTTGTATTAAAATGAAAAATAGTAAATCAGCTAAATGTGACAGAACACTAATAGAAGGCTAAAATTATTACCCCCATACAAAAATATTGTGTAATAATCTGATTTATACAAATTAATATATCACTGTTATTCGTACATAAGCTGCTATAAAACATTATATTTTATACTCTGTTTTTATGACACTGTTTACACTTTCCTACTATCGTACATTGCATATACTCTGTTCTCTTGTACACCATGTAGTAGCTAATTGCTTTTATCCTCTATTCCTTTCATCAAGCAAACAGTAAGGGCCTTTAAATATGACAATGTATTATTTATGAAAGGTATATGATAGATGTCTAAATCTCAAAATATGTGTGCCATTAATTTATATATCATCTCAAGTTTCTAATGGGCTATGGTGAGTTATTTTTGAAAGCAAAGATATGAGGTTATTAATCATCACTGTATTACTCAGAATTCTCCAGAGAAACAGAAACAATAAGATAGATAGACAGACTAAGCTATAATAGGAGGGATTGGCTTACCTGATTATGGAGGCTGAGAAGGCTATCTGCTTTCTACAAACTAGAGGTCCAGGTAAGCCAGTGCTATCATTTTAGTCCAAACCCAAAGGCCTGAGATTCAGGGCCGCCAATGGGATAAGTCCATGTCCATGTCCAAAGGCCCAAGAACCAGGAATGCCTATTCTGAAGGACAGAAGAAAATGGATGTCTCAGCTCAAGCAGAGACCAAATTTTTCCTTCTTACACCTTCTTGTTCTATTCAGACCTCAATGGGTTGGATGATGCCCACCCACGTCAGGGAGGGTGACCGTCTTTACTCCATCTATAGATTCACATGCTAATGCCTTCCAGAAACACTCTTGCAAACAGCCCAGAAATCAGGCTTTGCCAGCTATCTGGGGTTCCATTATTTATCAACCTGACTGCTTTCCCAGTCCGGCTGTGACTAAGATAACTATATTTTCTCTAATCTCCCACACTGGAGGTAAGTAAGCATGGACCTGAGAAACACTTCGAAATGAGGAAATCCTCCTATAAAAATTGTTTTGGTTTTAGCAGACTTAATCTGTATTTCATTCTGGATAGTTATCAATTCTCTAATCCTGGTGTTAAAAGTAACACCTCAAATTGTTTCTCTCGTCCAAGACTAAATAAATGTGTCTATCTAGGGCAAAGACCTCTTCCAGGGAGCACACTATAAATTCCAAATATACCACTTCTATATGCCACTATGAAGAACGAACTAATTTTAAGGCCAGCTTTGTTAAAAAAAAAAAAATAGCATTTCTTGTGATGGCATCTTTTCTAATGAACTTCAGTGAAGTATTGCAAGAACAAATTTCAAGGCAATGTTGTGGGATTCTGTAGAAATAAATGAGAAAAAATATTTCACTATAAGACCATGATTTACATCAATTTTTGGTAAAATTACAGCTCCAGAGGCTTTGGGATTTTCTATAATATTTACATTGATATAATGAAGGGAAACATTTATGTTTGGATCCTTAAATTTACCAATTCATAGTTATCTAAAAAGCAAAGTAATTTTAAAATATCTAGAATGGTACTCTTCCATTTTTTGCATTAATTGAGGTTGTACAAAGTGCCTGATAAAGGGAAAGCAATATTGAAGTGGGAATCCAAACATTCCTGTTTTAATACAATATCTGATACTAAATAGAAATTTTTTCTGGACCTCAAAAGTAAAATTAAATAATTAAAAGACATCAGTTCTTAAGTTCCTTTAAACATTAATATTCTATGGTCCGTGACAAAAAAAAAAAACACAACATTTAGATAATAAGTACTCCAGCCAAAAAACACATAAAACAGTAGGGCATCACCCCAAATCCCACTACTAAAATCTAAGTGGGATGCCTAGAATTCACCTTCCTGAGGTTGCAATGAGGCACCACAACCCCCCACTATGTAATGTCAAGAAAAGCCACATAGAGAGCTGGGATTTTCATTTTTATTGGCCTTGAATGAGCCATCACTCCAAGCCTCAGTATCAGCAGAGGCCAAGAGTGGAGCTTGTTCTTCCACACTCATGCAGCAGTAATGAGGTACTCCACCTTCCTATTTGAGTGGAGTCAGTGGAGACCTAGTAGAGATTTAGGACCTGCACAATAGCTACCCCATGCAGCATAATTAGAAGCTACCTCCCCTCTTGTGTTAATGGAAGATGAGTGGAGAATGTGGCTTTTACCGCCAACTAACATTAATGATATAGATGTCCCTTTTTTCCTGCCAGAGAAGTTCTAGTGAAAGTTTGCTAAAACAGACAGTTTAAACAAAATCCAGAATCTTAGAACATACCACAAAAATGTCCAGGTTGCAATAGAAAATTACTTGTCATACCAAGAATGATGACGATCTCATACTGAATGAAACAAAAAAATCAGAATATATTAACACCAAGATTACATAGATGTTAAAATCATCTAATAGATGTCTTAAAAATAGCAAATATTTTCTCCTCTCTACCCAATCTCCCATAACTAATGTCTCTGGTGTTTGTGCAATAAAACAACAAGGAATGGATGATGCAAAAGTAGGTAGCTGATAGACCCGATAAATGCAGCTATCCCATATCCATCCAGTCTTGTGACTCTAAGGGGGCTCCCTTTACAAACATGGAGTTGGCTGAAGGAAATAGTCAACTTCTGTCCTCTTCCATCCAACACCTTGTATAAAGAAACCCATCTTTATAGATCAGAAAGTTTAAGAATTACTAATTTTTTTTTACTACCCTTTTAGCTGTACTACACTATACCATCTCTATCAAATGGCGGTAACTCCTGTTTAAAGCATTACTTATCCTGCCAAAGTTACTTTTTCCAATAATAATGACATGAATTACAGGAAGTTTTTCATTCTACAAGTATTTTCTATAATGCCTCTTATGGCATGCTAACCATTCATTTTTATTTAATAAATACCCAATAATTACCAAGAATATCAGTTGAGAATTTCAGGTAGTGGTTTGTTTGGTTCTTGAAAAAGTCAGTTTAAACCCCCCAGAGTTTTACTTACTGTATTTTGTAGAGATGGGATCTTGCTATGTTGCCCAGGTTTACCTGGCACTCCTAGCCTGAAGTGATCCTCCCACCTTGGCTTCCCAAAGTTCTGGAATTACAGGTTTAAGTCATTGTAACTGGCTTGCCTTTTTTTTTTTTTTTTTTTTTGAGACAGAATCTTGCTTTATCGCCCAGGCTGGAGTGTGGTGGCATGATCTCAGCTCACTGAAACCTCTACCTCCTGGGTTCAAGCAATTCGTCTGCCTCAGCCTCCAGAGTAGCTCAGATTATAGGCACTTACCACCACACCCAGCTAATTTTTATAGTTTTACTAGGCACAGGGTTTCACCATTTGGCCAGACTGGTCTCAAACTCCTGACTTCAGGTGATCCGCCCAGTTCAGCCTCCCAAAATGCTTCGGTCTTGGCTCACTGAAACCCCTGCTCCTGGGTTCAAGCAATTCTCCTGCCTCAGCCTCCCAAGTAGCTGGGATTACAGGCACTTGCCACCATGTCTAGCTAGTTTTTGTACTTTTAGTAGAGACAGGGTTTCACCATCTTGGCCAGGCTGGTTGAACTCCTGACCTCAGGTGATCCACCCTCCTCAGCCTCCCAAAGTACTGGGATGATAGGCATGAGCCACTGTGCCCAGCCTACTTCTATTATTACATTGTAATACATAATAAAATATTTATACAACTCACCATCATGGAGAATCAGTGGGAGCCCTGAGCTTGTTTTCCTGAAGCTAGATGGTCCTTTCTGGGGGTGATGGGAGACAGTGACAGATTATCAGGCATTAGATTCTCATAAGGAGCATGCAGCCTAGCTCCCTTGCATGTGCTGTTTACAGTAGGGTTTGTATTCCTGTGAGAATCTAACACTGCCACGATCTGACAGGAGGTGGAGCTGAGGCAATGATGCCAACAATAAGGAATGGCTATAAACGCAGATGAAGCCTCACTTGCCTGCCCAGTGCTCACCTCCTGTGCTGCCTGCTCAGTTCCTAACAGGTGAGCTGGGCGCAGTGGGTCACGCCTGTAATCCCAGCACTTTGGGAGACTGATGCGGGCAGTTCACCTGAGGTCAGGAGTTCAAGACCAACCTGACCAATATGGAGACACCCTGTCTCTACTAAAAATAAGAAAATTAGCCTGGCGTGGTGGCTGATACCTGTAATTCCAGCTACTTGGGAGTCTGAGGCAGGAAAGTTGATTGAATCTGGGAAGCAGAGGTTGCAGGGAGCCAAGATCATGCCACTGCACTCCAGCCTGAGCAACAATAGTGAAACTCCATCTCAAAAAAAAAAAATAAAGGCCGGGTTTGGTGGCTTACACTTGTAATCCCAGTACTTTGGGAGGCCGAGGCGGGTAAATCACCTGAAGTAAGGAGCTCGGGACCAGCCTGGCCAACATGGTGAAACCCTGTCTCTACTAAAAATACAGAATTAACCAGGTGTGGTGGTGCGTGCCTGTAATGCCAACTACTCAGTAGGCTGAGGTGGGACAGCTGCTTGAATGTAGGAGGTAAGGTTGCAGTGAGCCAAGATTGCACCACTGCACTCCAACCTGCACAACAGAGCGAGACCCCATCTCAAAACAACAACAACAACAAAAAAAAAACACAAGTGGTGGCCTGGATTTGGCCTGGAGGGTCACAGTTTGCCAAGCCCTGCCAGATCCATAGCTCCAGATACATATATCCTGTGTCTTGGACAGCTCTGTTCAGACCCTTTGGTGAGGCCCAGAGAGGGGAAGCAATTAGATCCACATCACCCAGCGAGGCAGGGCAGAGTAAGATAGGAGGTGGTTCTCCTTATTCTCAGTTGTCAGAGAGCCCCTCACCGCCAAGCCCTGCCACAACTGCCTGCCCTCTCTGTGTCTATTTCTATTTCTTGATTAATGATTATTTATTGAGCTCCTACCATGTGCCTGACCCTGAGCTGAGCCCTTCTTCTCCCCCACGTCCCTGACCACTGTCCCCACTTCTCCATCATACTGCCCATGATGAGTCAGGGAACCAAATGAACCCCAATCGCAAGGCCTCCCCATCCCAAAAAGACCCAGAGACTCTCACCTGCTCCCCAGTTGAAGTGTGTATCCCCTCAGGGAAGGGGTCCACATCTGGCTG